GCGCGGTGGCTCATGCCTGTAATCCTAGCACTCTGGGAGGCCAAGGCAGGAGGACTGCTTGAGCTCAGGAGAGCAAGACCCTGTCTCTACTATAAATAGAAAGAAATTAGCCAAACAACTAAAAATAGAAAAAATTAGCCAAGCATGGTGGTGATGCCTGTAGTCCCAGCTACCCGGGAGTCCGAGGCAGGAGGATCTCTTGAGCCCAGGAGTTTGAGGTTGCCGTGAGCAAGGCTGATGCCACGGCACTCTAGCCCGGGCAACAGAGTGAGACTCTGTCTCAAAAAAAAAGGAAGTGGATTAACTCAGCCTATGAAAATCCTTAGGTAACTGAAGGGAAATACCTGTTTCAGAGTAGTCAAAAGATTAGTCAGGAAATTCCTTTAACCAAATGTAATTTCTAGCATAAAATATAAAAAGGCACACGTACTATAAGACATTATGATAGCATCTGACTTATTGGCCTTTCCTATGAAACTAATCCTGGATATGTTTACCAGCTTTGACTTCATTTATACCCTGCTTCCTGTCTCCAAAGACTTCAAGGGAAGCACTCACACTTTAACACTATGTTTTTTTCAGCAAGGCTTCGTGGATATTCCACATCAATCCTTTCCACACGGAGTAAGAAAGATAATGAATTCATGATGTAACGCCATAAATCAGGACACCATAAATCAAAAACACACGCTCAAACAATGCAGTTTTCAAGAATTACATAAACAAAAAGATGCACATGAGCACATTAGAACCGCCATGAATTGGGGCGAGGTAGAGAGTGGAAGTGGGAAATGGGGACAAAGGGAACAAGTAAATATTGAAGCAATATTTCACATGTTACTTCCAAGCAACATGTCCTGAGTTCTGAGGTGGTTTTTATTTGTGATAAGAGCTTTCTATCTGCCCCTGACATGCTCCAGACACATTCATTTCCGCTTGAGTTTTTACAGATATTTAATCACCCATGAAAATTAAAGAAAGAACTTCCTTGTATCGCTGTGTTGTGATATGTGCAGCTTCTATTAAGCTTGTTTATTTTGTTCTCAGATCATCTAAGGCTCCATTTGTTCATGTAGCGAATGTGTGAGTACCTACTTGCGTTCATGCCCTGGGCTCTACGCTGGGGACACGGGGGTGAGTGAGGCCATCACAGCATCTGCCTTCCAGGGGTTTGAAGTCTAATGGTGGAGAGCACGGCTCGACTGTAGGACAGAGGCCAAGCTGCAGGACTAGGACATATCCCTGGCCTCACAGGAGTTCAGGGCATGGCAAGAGAGAAAAGAGGGAAAGCTGTGAAGTCTGTCCCTAGGTTCCTCTGAGCAAGTGCCAATTATAAAGATGACTGGAAATACAGAGTATGTGGTTCCGCCATGCAAATGAAATTAAGCCCAAGTATCCCATGGTCTCATAAGCTTTGTCTTTAGAAGTAATGGGAAGAAATTTATTTTTAATTAGTTTTGTCTGTTATTTGAATACCATTTTCGAAATGTACTCAACTCAAATGTCAACTTTAATAAATGAGAATCACAATTTGGGTAGTCCAGAATATCAATCTGAATATCATATATATTCATACTTATTTCTTAACATGGGTCTCCTTGGTTCTGGGAATTCTTAGAACTCACATTTTAAAAACAAAACCATAAAAGTTTCAGGCATGTAGGGAAGCGACATGTGTTAGTCTGCGAAACCTGGCACTTTGGAAACTTGGCTTGCCTCACCCGGCTCAGCCCTTGTGTGTGGCCTGTCTCCCAGGCCCCAGTGTGTGCTGGGAACAGACACTGTCTACTTCTTGAATCACCATACCACGTAGAACCAGCCAGCGGTTTTATTTTTTATTGTGGTAAAATACACATAACAATTACCATTTAGCCATGTTAAAGTGTACAATTCAGTGGCATTTAGTACGTTCACGGTGTTGTACAACCATTACCACTGTCTAATTCCAGAATATTGTTACCATCTCAAAGGTGAACCCTGTTCCCATTAAATAGTCACTCCCTATTCCCTTCTGCTCCCCAGCCCTCAGCACCCACTAGTCTGCATTCTGTCTCTCTGAGTTTGCCTATTCTAGATATTTCATATAAGTGGAATTGTATAATTTACAGCCTTTTGTGTCTGGCCTCTTTCACTCAACGTGTTGTTTTCAAGGTTCATCAGTGTTGTGGTATTTAGCAGTACTTCATTTCCTTTATGGCTCAATAATATTCCATCATCTGGATATACCACATTTTCTTTATCAGCTGAACAGACATTTGGGTTATTTCCACCTTTTGGCTATTTGAATAGTGAGTGTTATTATGTATGTTCATGTACAAGTTTTTGCTTGAACAACTGTTTTCAGTTCTTTTGGGTATCTACCTATGAGTGCAATTGCTAGGTCATGTAGTAATTCATTGTTAGGTTTTTGGAGAACCGCCAACCTGTTTTCCACAGCGGCTGTACTATTTTCCATTCGTCCTGGGAAAATATGAGGGTTCTAATTTCTCCACTTTCTTACCAACACTTTTTTCTTTTTTTCATAATGGCCATCCTAGTGGGTGTGAAGTAGTGTCTCACTGTGGTTTTGATTTGCAAATAACTATGACTAGTAACATTGAGAATCTTTTCATGTGCTTGTTGCCCATTTGTATATCATCTTTGCAGAAATGTCTATTCAAATCCTTTACATGTTATTAAATTGGCTTGTTTGGGGTTTTTTGTTCCCAAGTTGTAAGAGTTCTTTATGTATTCTGGATAGTAGAACCTTCTCAGATATATGACTTGCAAATATTAATATTTTTGCCCCTTCTGTGAGTTTTCTTTTTACTCTCTTGATGATGTCCTTTTCTGCACAAAAGTTTATCTGGATGAAGGCCAGTTTATCTATTGTTACTTGTGAGATTTACCCCTATGATTTCTTCTAAGAGTTCTATAGTTTTTGCTCTTACATTTAGGTCTATGATCCCTTTTAAGTTAATTTTTGTGTGTGGTATGAGATAGGTGTCCAACTCCATTCTTTTGCATACAAATGTCCAATTGTCCCTGTACCATTTGTTGAAGAAGTTATTTTTTCTCCATGGGATGGTCTAGGCAACTTTGTCAAAAACCAATTGACCGGCCGGGCGCAGTGGCTCACGCCTGTAATCCTAGCTCTCTGGGAGGCCGAGGCGGGCAGATTGTTTGAGCTCAGGAGTTCGAAACCAGCCTGAGCAAGAGTGAGACCCCGTCTCTACTAAAAATAGAAAGAAATTAATTGGACAACTAAAAATATATATAGAAAAACTTAGCCGGGCATGGTGGCGCATGCCTGTAGTCCCAGCTACTCGGGAGGCTGAGGCAGGAGGATCGCTTGAGCCCAGGAGTTTGAGGTTGCTGTGAGCTAGGCTGACGCCACGGCACTCTAGCCCGGGCAACACGGTGAGACTCTGTCTCAAAAAAAAAAAAAAAAAAAACCAATTGACCATCCATGTATGGCTTTATTTACTTCTGGACTATCTATTCGATTGATTTATATGTCTGTCCTTATGTTAGTACCACATCATATTAATCACTGTAGCTTTGTAGTAAATTTTAAAATAGGAAAGTCCTTGAATTTTGTTCTTTTTCAAGATTGTTTTGGCTATTTGAAGTCCCTTGCAGTTATATGTGAATTTTAGGATCAACTTTTCCATTTACGTAAAAAAGACTTTGGGCTAGTGTTTTGATAGATTTGATAATTCACTGCTTTCATAGACTTTCGGGGTCTCAAAGGCCTTGTGGGCACACTTTGAGATCCTGCTGTTGGCATAGCACTTGACTAAACAGCATGTGATTAATGTGGATAACAATTCGAAATCAAGATTGACCAAGTAGCATCCCTGAAAGTGAAATTTGGGTATTTCCCTAAAGACTCAATAGAGTTAGCTCTATGATTTTAGTCAAGCCTTACTTTTAAATATATTATACTTCCTTTAAAGTATATATTTGAAAAGTCTCGATACTAACAGATAATAACAAAGTATTGCATTGACAGGAAAACTAAAAACTGAGTGTTTATCTTTGAGATGAGGAAAATATAGTCTGAAATTATGTGAAGCAAGTAATTAGTCACTGACATGCTTTAAGTTCATATGTTATATTTCATTGACATTCCATCAAAATACACTTTGAAATATTGATTTGAAAACTCTTTTATGAGTATGACTTTTTTTCTAAGGTAATGAACCAAATTTCTGACTCAAGCATAAGATACGGTTCTTGAGACTCTTCATTAGAGAGCCAAATTTAGCTAAAATCAATGACTTTCACAAGTTATTATGAAGTGGACTTAGTTGGGACATGAGAATACTTGGCTTTTTTCTATTAAACTATTTTACTTCCTTGTTAAACAAGTTGTGTCCTTAATTTTCAGAAATGCTCCCTTATGCTTAATTGCAAAGTCACTGGCTTTCTAGTGAGGAGTAATTCATCTTTATGGGGGCCCCTGCAGTAGCAGAATTTGAGGTATTATTACACCTTCTGCTTGTAAATTTAATACTATGCTAGTCTCTCATAATTCTTACTCATTGGATGAGAGTGAAGATGATGATGATAGCAAATACCTTTGTAGAGCTGACCACGTACCAGGGACAGTTTCTATATACTCTGTGTGTATGTGCGTCTATACAAACATAAGGTGAGCACACCAAATCCAAAATGATTCAAAGTCCAAAACTTTTTGATCATTAACGTGACACTTAAAGGAAACGTTCACTGGAGCATTTCAGATTTTTGGATTTGGGCTGCTTAACCAGTCAGTATATGATACAAATGTTCCAAAATCTGGAAAAGTCCAAAATCCAAAACATTTCTAATAAGCCTTTCAAATAAGAGATCCTCAGCATGTAAAAGAATAATGTGTATATATACATATTAAAATAGATATGTGTAAATTATGTAATACTTGCAGCAACTGCCAGAGAGTGGAGGTTATTACCAGTAGTTCACAGACAAGGAAACTAAGCACAGAACAGATATAAGCCTTTTCCTGGGTAATACAGATAATAAGTGGAGCAAAGATTCAAACCCAGATGATCCTAAATCCTCCAGGGCCTACACTCTCGGTCACAAAGTTCTACAACTCATTGAAGGCAAGGTCATTATTTTTTGCATTCTTAGGAACCCTAGAATAAATAATGTGCTGAGCAGATTTGCGTAACCATTATTGGGGCGTCTTTCCAGTCCAAAGAGGAGAGGCTGACAGATGTGAGGGGCATGAAGGGCACATGCTGGAGTAGGAAGAAACATTCATTTCTCTTTCCCTTCTGTATGTGTAGGAGTGCAGGACTTCAGTGTGTGCTATTGCCGTTTTCCCAATACTGCCAAGTATAGTGGTATTGAAAACAAAAACAGAAAAGCCTGGTCGAGAAGTCCTAAGATAATATAAGGTTATAGCCTCAATGTGTCACTTTTGAGCTGTAGGACTCATGAGAAGGTTCTTAGTAAGATGTTAATTGTCAATCTTTCATTATAACTTATGATTCAACTTAAAATATGTGATCCTTATGGCCTTTATTAAGCTTGTTTTCCCACAAAAGTATGTGTGTTTAAGTAGAAGGCGGTATTTGTGATTTTTAATCATACTTAGCTACTCGAGTGCTTAAGTTGTCATCTCTTAAAAATTTGTTTCCTATCACATGATTCAGTTTAGATCTCCATTATCCCAACTGAAAGATTTCCTTGTTTTTGGTACAAACTGGCAGGAGCACTAAATGGCTAAGGTAATACTTGAGGTCTGGTGCTAAAAATATGTAATATTGTTATTAGGATCTTAAACACTGGAAATATTTCTTAGCTTCCATGAACACTAATTCTTTTCAACCTTGGGCACACTGTAAGGCGGATGACAGAGGAAGTGGCTCAGGAATGCTACTGGTAATAACAGATGCCTTCTGAGTGGAATGGCCAAACCTAAGTGGCTGCACCAGCTAACACGCACCTTGTGGTCTCATTTACCGATGGTGGAATTTGAGTACAGCTATGATGCATAAACTCCTTGGTGTATTTCTTTTTTTCCTAACTGTTCCTCCAAATCAGATACTCCCTCACTCAGGGAGGGCAAGGTCCTTGCTTTGGATCAGCCTGTCTTACATATGGTTTGTAGAGTCATGGGGCCAGTACTCGAAGCAGTTGATTTATGCTGGTCTGGAATGTTGTGCTCGCACTGGGGTGGAGAAGGGGACACGTCTTAAGAAGGTCGTTGGCAACAGAAATGTGAGCAGGACTGTGAACTCTCTGCAGATCCTATTGTGAGGCGCTTGAAAGAATGGAGGGGTTTCACTTGGAAAAAGGAAAGGTGGTAGAAGAGGGGATGAGGGGCCCAGTTCCAGATCTCTCTTTAGGTTTTTGAGGGACTGCTGATGTGGAAAGGGAATTTGACTTTTTCTGTAACATTTGTCTCTTAAGTCTTTGTTGCCTCATTTGTTAGAGCAGGAACTGGATGGTCTCCCAAAGGTCCCCTCAGTGCTAAAGTCTGTGACTAACCAGGCCCAATGAGTGGGTGTCACTGGAAGGCAGAGTGAGCTTCCTGTTTGAGGACAGAATGTTCCAACACTGCACTCTCCAAAAGAAATTTGAGGCACACATGTAATTTTAAGTCTTCTAGAAGCCATGTTTTTAAAAGAAACAGATGAAATTCTAACGTATTTTATTTAACCCAATATACCCAAAATATCATTTCAATAAGTAATCAATGTAAAAAAATCATTCATGAGATATTGTACTTTTTTCCCATGCTATGTCTTCAAAATCCAGTGTGCGTTTTATACTCAAAGCATATCTCAATTTATGTTAGCCATGTTTCAAGTAGTTAATTGTCATCTGTGGCCAGTGGCTGCCACCTCAGCACATCTTTTGTGACTGTGTGAGTGCTTACTCTGGGCCAGACCCCTCGAAAGGTTTCACGTACCTCTTCGTAGTCAATCACTGCATCAGTCTTCTAAGAGATTCCCGTTTTATAAATGAACAAACAAACTTATAACTTGCACAATTCCACACAGCCAGTATGCAACAGGAGCCCAGATTTGGCCTTAGATTTGTCTGAGCCCAATGTCCTTGACCTTGGCACTCCTTGCGGGGAGGTAGCTGAGTTCCCTGTCATGGGACTGGCTGGTTCCTTACAGAACATCCGGGGTACAACTTTGGCCATGAATTCCACAGCCCTGAAGTAAAGTGGAATTCCAAGAGAAATAGGCAATGTGGGCAGTTTGTCACGAACAGATAAACATTTTCTGTCCCTGGCAGGGCACATTGTCATGACTCCAGTCATTTGGTCATTAGGCAGCTTCTCTAAAGAAGTTGAGCTAGACGTTTCGTAGAAGTGTATATCATAAGTAGTTCCTAGAATATTAGTTCAAATAAGAAATAGTTACTATATTTACATTTTTAAAAATCATCCAGAGCTTTCATTTTTAACTCACTGTTCCTGTTTAATACGATTATGAGGATGGCGGGAGGAGGGAGGTGTACAGGGAGGAGAGGATACATGGCTTTCTCAGCGACAGCCGCCTCAGGAGCAGTGTCATCCCCCTCGTGGCTGTAATTACCTCTGTGCCCACCTTTGACTGTCAGGGGAGCACAGAGCTGTGCGTTCCCAGACAGCCCGTAAATCCCCAGCACCAAAGGGTCCTGGGACCAGAAGAAATGGCTGTCCGGAGGCCAGGGGAAAGGGAGGAAAGGAAGCCACATTGTGATTGTTCTTCTCAGGCAGACTTGTGATAAATAGGAAATGAGAAAAATCATTTACAGATGGTTTATTGCATTTTGTCCTCTTTTAGAAATCACGTATTTGGAATTAACTTGGAGGGTTTCTGCTGTCATTTGGGATCAGATGTCCCTATGCATCAAAATGTGAAAATTTTGTTCTCATTCCCAATTTTTTTGCTATGTGAACATTTCCTGCTATAGTTTAGGAAGAAATTATTCATCCAGTGATACCATGTAATGCCTTTGAAAGAACTAAAGTTAAGTGTAGTAACAAAGCAACGATAAAAGTGAAACTTGACATCGATTAGACCTCTGTATATGCTAGAGCAACTCTTGTTTTCCTTTTCTTGGAAGGAAAACTAATTCCAATGATACTGTTCCAACCCTATAGAAAAGTGAGCAAGCTCGACCACTTACCTTTTATGTTAAAATCTTTTTCATAATTACATAACCTGATTCCTAACTAGGCGGGGTAGCCTGTGGCCATAAAGAGCACATATGAAAGAACATACGGTTTTAGCACTTCCAGAGGAGCTTTCCAGTTCTTAACTTTCTACTGAGTAGCTCTTCTATTCTCTGCCACCTGAAGACAAGAACGCACCCCTATCTGTTAGTTCCTCAGGTCGTTAAACACCCATCCTCCTGCCTGCTAAGTCAGCCAGCAGCCCACAGCCCACAGCCCACACAGGACTTCTGCTCCCACTGGTCTTCCAACTATTTCATAACTTTCTTGTAGCAGGAAGGGTAACGGTTGGTCTGGCTCCTAAAAGCTTATGATGTATTAAAGAGGCTCAGAAGTTTAAGTGCTATTACAGTCAGGAAAGGAGGATACTAGATATCATCCCTCACCCTCTGCAGTAGCAGGCCATGTCCGCAGCACTTGTCCCTCCTGCCCATCACAAAGTAGTCTCAGTCACAAAAGAAGGAAAAGTATTTAGATAGGGAATCTTGTGACATTTTTGTACCCATGTTATCGACAGTATAATCCTACAACATCAAGCATATAGAATCCAGACTTTAATTATCAAGCATTAACAAACTTTCAGACGCCTTGGAGCAGACCTGGTGAATTTCTGCAAGAATGTTTTATTTTAAGGGATTATCTTTGCAGCTTCTTTTTTTTTTTATTTTTGTATGTATTTGTGCACTGGCTCAGGAGAAGCAGACTTTTATGCATCAGTACTTACTGTCTGAACATCTGTCTTTTCTTTCTCTATTTTGTAAGGACCAAAAAGTTAATAATTGATGTGATTCGGAACCAGCCAGGAAACACATTGACAGAAATCTTAGAGACACCAGCAACTGCACAACAGGTAATTTGTCTTTAAGTGTAAAATAGTTAGTATAATAGGAGTTGATTTTCTTAACAAATCTTCATGCCAGATGTTCACTGTTATCTCAGAGAAACTGTATCTGCCATGGTTTAGAAGTAAGGAATTTTATCCATTACGGTTGTCAACTGAGTTCAGCCATATATAAAACTCAAATGGAATATCAGTAGGAATAAAATAGAAAATGCAACACTAAATTTATGCTGAATGTAATTTTGTCCTACACTAGGAAGATAGTTCCAGGTTTTTTTTCAAAGCCTCAGAATAGTCATCATAAACTTTATTGCATGGTGGATGGGCAGATACGTCCATTGAGGACAGTTCTGGTTGACAGGATGTAGAAAAATACCTTTTATGTTTTATATATTTGCTAACTTGAAGAAACAAAGAAATGTCTCACACATTAAAGCTGTTTTCCAAATGCTTCAGAAGCAAACGTTGAGTCCATTAGGTCGAAGCACCCTTATGTTGATGTGAGTAAAGTTCTATAACAGTCTTGCATTAAACTTTTTATCGACGTCTTTTAAAATGTGTCATTATTTAGTTCATTTTGAAATGAGTTAAAGGTTATTGTTTTAGTACCAATAATTGGGACTCCCTAAACAAAAATCAACAAAATTATCTAATAAATTACTTCCTAGTAGTGCTACGCATAGTTTTCCTGACTCATTCTTAATTTAATTGGCTACCAAGAAATCATTCATAGTTTTTAATTTTAAAAATATAAAACAAAACTTCAAATTATATGATGTTTGTTAATGTGTCAATATTTTTTAAACAGTATACACAGAATATCATACTAATTTAGTATAAAAAGGCTTTTATTTCTTTCTGGATTATTTCATTTTTCCCTAAATGTATCATGACTAAGTGACTAAGAACACAGACTTCTGAGATCGAGTATAGTGCTGCACCTCCTAGCCATATAACTCTGAAATATCTCTGTGCCTTGGTTTCCTCAACTATAAAGTGGGAATAATGGTACCTAATTCACTGGCAGGATTAAATGAGTTAACACATGTTAAGTGGGTAGAATAGTACCTGGCATATATTAAGTGCTCAGTAATGTTGGCTATTGCTTCTACAGTTGTTTGCTACTAACCTGGTAAACTGTTCCAGTGTCCATAACATTGATCTGTCTGTCCTGTGTCTAACATTACTGTGTCTAACAGTCAGATCCCTAGACTTCATCTATTGGGTTGGCCATTTGTCTAATATAATGAAATAAGAAGATAACCATTCTGTTTTTATTACTGTTTTCTTGAACAGGCTATCCAAATAGTATTCATTCATTTATTTACTCATCATTTATTTGAGAATTTAGGCGCTAGATTAGGGTTTTTCAGAGCTGGTAGTTTGAGAGCGATTCTCTCATTAGAATGAAGCTCTTACTGCCTCACTGTTGGGTTTGCTTATGAATCTCCATGGCTGGTATGTGAGTTTAGGTGGGTACTGGACGTTCAGGGTTCTCATAGCCGTGTTTTAATGGATAATCTAGTTTTAGTTTCCTCACCTGGATTGCCCAGGAATTGAAATCCTTCCATCTAGGAAATTACAATGTAATGGTTAATCCGTTAAAACATGTCCATTACTAAAGTGGTTTGTCACCTTGGCAATAAAGTAGCTATTTAGAATTTGGTCCAAATTAGGCTTGCCATCCCTGCTGTGTTACTCAAAAAGATGAAGTAAGTCCTTCCAAATACCTACTTTGAAACCCACAAAGATCGCATTCTGGTTCTAGTCTTTGGACTTTGGTTTGAGGACTTCTTTCATTTTGACATTAACATGCTTTGTGCAGCTTATGAATCTGGAAGATTAGGGATCAGAGAAAAATCAGCATCTTGATAATCTCTTTTCAGGAAGTAGATCATGCCTCAGACATGGCGAGCCGTGCAATTATAGATTCCAGGACTCCAGAAGAAATGAAGGATAGCCAGTCCATGATGGAGGATGCTCAGCTGCCTCTGGAGCAGAAGAAGAGGAAAATCCAGAGGAATCTGCGGACATTAGAACAGACTGGACTCGTGTCATCCAAAAATAAATACCAAGACATTCTCAATGAGATTGCCAAGGTTTTTGGAAACTGTTCTTTCTTCTTCACTTAGCAGACATTTGCTAAATGTCAGTCATGTGCTGGGACTCTGTGAGTTGGCATGAGGGATGCATGGTTGTATATGCCATCATTCCTGCCCTCTTCAGTGTTACAGAGTTTTAAAGGTTTTGAAGCAGTTGGTAACTTTTAATAGAGAATATTCACAACTCCCTCAAGTCATTAGGAGAGTTGAAACACACCAGAAATAAATGCTCAAGAAATGTAACAGACAAGTTTGATCTATACCTTTAAGAACACCTACTAGTTTTTTAATTGACATTTTTGGGAGAGTTTTCTCCTGAGTTGTTAGTTGTCCCTGAGAATTCTTTTCTAAGCAGTTTAACCTAGATGCAGCTCAGACTTAAAGGTTAGTTTCTGTTTTCTCATGCCATATTTTTACACTTAAGAAACTTCCTGAGAAAAGGATCTCAACTTAGAGCAATGAAACATCACAGGAAGTGGCTGAGATCTGTTTGTCAAGGATAAGGAAGTACACATTTGGGTTAAAAGGACATTTCATTCTTTTCATCCAAACATGCAAATTAGTGTGAGTCCAGAGGTTAAAGGGAGCTAAGTGATCAGAAAAAATAAATGTTTTCACCTTCTGTGATGGAGATGCACTCAGTTTCTTTCTTATATGGAAAGTTATAGTCAATTCTAGTGACTCAAGGGAAGTAGCATTTCTTTGTATAGCTTTGAGGTGGAAATATTTCTCTTTAGGAATATTGGGTAGAGAAAGTAATGCTTTTGCTTACAAAAAAAAAAACTATCATGAAGGCACCCACCCAAAGATTCTACTTAATGAAGAATTTTTACTTGGGAGGTCTGTATGTGGGGGGGGTGTATGTGGATATCTCTTTGAATTCCTAGGGGAATGGTTTTTAATTCATCTTCAAAGGAAAATAATATTAAACAGCACCATTTCCTTAAATGAAACATTATAATAACTTACCAATTAGAATTACCAAAAAATCGTTATATCTCCAAGTTTAAATTTAGCATACCTCTTGTAAGCTATAAGCAGCTTATGCAACTTAATGTTCTAAGAATTCTATTTAAATCTAAGTAATAGTTATCAGTGTTTAATCTTTTCCGTCAGTCTTGAGAGCTGACTGAAAGTTGTTTTTTCAAACCTTGAGAAATATTTGCCGACGAAAAAGTTTGGTTTTTACTTATTTCTAAAATGAATTCAACAATTAAATATAAACCTTTTCAGTTTAAAGTATTCTTCAAAGAAGAATGTTCAAAATAGTCTGAGGAAATTACGTGTCTCCTGCTGAAGTCTTTTTTTTTTTTTTTTTTTTAGACAGAGTCTCACTGTGTTGCCCGGGCTAGAGTGCCATGGCATTAGCCTAGCTCACAGCAACCTCAAATCCTGGGCTCAAGTGATCCTACTGCCCCAGCCTCCCGAGTAGCTGGGACTACAGGCACGTGCCACCATGCCCGGCTAATTTCTCTATTTATTTTTAGTTGTCCAATTAATTTCTTTCTAATTTTAGTAGAGACGGGGTCTCGCTCTTGCTCAGGCTGGTTTCGAACTCCTGAGCTCAAACAATCGGCCCGCCTCGGCCTCCCAGAGAGCTAGGATTACAGGCGTGAGCCACCGCGCCCGGCCTGAAGTCTTATTTGTGCCCCTTTTAAAACACTATTTTTTCCTTAAACTAATTATGTGGCGGTTCTAAAATTACTTCCTTGCATTTCCATCCAGAGAAAAATAAACCTTAGCAAGTCTCTTAAAGTGAAATATGGATGCTTTCCTGTTCTGAAGTAAAAAAAGAGTGGGAACACTTTGGTGTTAAGAGTGAAATAAGGTGCCTGGTGTAAACTGCAAATTAACAGACACAAATAGTGACTTACTACTTGATATTTTTCCTGTCACAAATTGCCAATATCGTGAAGTAAACTGGTTAAATCTCATAGCCTTTAACTTGTTGTTTCAGGATATACGAAATCAAAGAATCTATCGTAAGCTTCGAAAAGCTGAATTAGCAAAACTTCAGCAGACCCTGAAAGCACTTAATGAGAAGGCAGCATTTTATGAAGAGCAAATTAATTATTATGACACCTACATAAAGACTTGTTTAGACAACTTAAAAAGAAAGTAAGTTAAAATCATGTCATATTCATTTGTAATGTCATGATTTATATGAGATGCCAATTCTATAATTCTGGGCTGTGGGATTGGGTTGGGAAGCAAACCTGTTACTAGAGTCTCAATTTTATTATTTACCACTGTGAACTAAGAAGTCAGGAATAAATTTGGAAGCTTTTTGATACCCCGTCAGTGTTAGAATTAAAGTGGCTTACCTATTGTATTATAAGCAAATAGCATTAGCACTTAGGGGAAACATTTTCATTATTCCTTTTGTCTTTTATAGTTAAAGATGGGTTTTTTTTTAATTCTTTTAAAAAATATTTTGTATTTTCAGTTATGGATACATAATGTTAGTACATATTTATGGGGCATATGTGATGTTTTGATATAGGCATAAAGTGTGTAATGTTCAAATCAGGGTAACTGGAGTATCCATAACCTCAAGCATTTGTCATGTCTTTGTGTCAGGAACATTCCAATCCCACTCTTTTAGTGATTTTAAAGTATACAATAAATTGTTGTCAACTACAGCTGCCCTATTATGCTACAGACTACTAGGTCTTATTCATTCTATCTAACCGTATTTTGTACCCATTAACCACCCCCTTTTATCCTTCAAAGGTATTGTTTAAAAAGACTCTTGTTTTGGAATGTTTATTATAAACAATATTTTATATACTTAATAATGTTAGATAACATCAGATATTTGCTAATTGCACAAAGTAGCTTAATGATTTTATTTATTTTTCTTTTTTTAAAAAAACTGAAAGTCCAGGCCGGGCGCAGTGGCTCACGCCTGTAATCCTAGCACTCTGGGAGGCCGAGGCGGGCGGATTGTTTGAGCTCAGGAGTTCGAAACCAGCCTGAGCAAGAGTGAGACCCCGTCTCTACTAAAAATAGAAAATAAATTAATCGGCCAACTAAAAATATATAGAAAAAATTAGCCAGGCATGGTGGCGCATGCCTGTAGTCCCAGCTACTCAGGAGGCTGAGGCAGAAGGATTGCTTGAGCCCAGGAGTGTGAGGTTGCTGTGAGCTAGGCTGACGCCATGGCACTCACTCTAGCCCAGGCAAAAGAGTGAGACTCTGTCTCAAAAAAAAATAAAATAAAAAATAAAAAAAAAAAACCTGAAAGTCCTATGGCTTAATGATTTTAAATTGCTTAGTAGGTTTTAAAAAATCATTATTGATACAACAGGCAAAATTTGTTAGGTCTCTGTTATCCATTAGCATAAGTATTATAGATTTTTATACACAGTATATCCATTTTTAATGACTATATTTCACTTGTAATTATTATCACTAGGGTCAATGCTTATCAAATTTTCATTATCCGTTTAAATACGTAGTGCAGTATTTTCATAGAATCCTTGTCATCAAATTGGCAGTAAGAGATGGTGCTGTATGAAAAATCAATTGTATTAATCATAGATTTTTTAAAATTTTATTGTAAATTGACTTTATAATTGTGTATATTTACAGGGCCCAAAGTGATGTTATGATTTATTAATACAATGTGGAATAATTAAGTCGATCTAATTAACATATCTATCATCTCAAATACTTACTTTTTTGTAATGAGAACATTTGAAATTTACTTTTAGCTGTTTTTAAATCACAATACACTATTATTAACTATACTCAGCATACTCTGCAATACATATTAAAAAAAAACCTGATTCCTCCTGTGTGAGATTTTGTACCTTTGACTATCATCTCTCCATTTTTCCCCACCCCCAGGCTCTGTAACCACCATTCTACTCTCTGCTTCTATGAGCACAACTTTTTTTTAGATGCCACATATAAGTGAGAACATTCAGTATTTGTCTTTCTGTGCCCAGCTTATTTCACTTAGCATAATGTTCTCCAGTTCTGTTCATATTGTCCCAAATGCCAGATTCTTCTTCTTTTTAAAGGCCGAATCATATTCCATTGTGCATATATACCACACTTTCTTTATCCATTCTTCTGCTGATGGACACTTAAGTTGATTCCAAGTGTCTGTCGTGAATGGTGCTGCAGTGAACATGGTAGGCAGATACCTCTTTGATAAACTGATTTCAGCTCTTGGGGTAAACACCCAGAAGTGAGATTGCTGGATCAATCATAGAAGCTTTGATGAAGGGAAGTAACCAAATTTAAACGTTACTTATTTGGACCCCACTAGTTCCAAATTTTAATTCATTTGCTTGGGCCTGAATATAGAGTTATGTATTTTTTTTTTTACACTCTACTTGGGAGGAAGAAGTTGGTCAAGCTAATTTTCAGTAGAAACGAGATTGTTAGAGATTTAAGTTACATATTTATCATAACTACTTTAAGGCATTTTACACAAGCTCCGCAGTCAGGCGATTTGGATTTGGGTTCCGATCCTCTCTTATGTTGCGTGATCCTGAACCAGTTCAGTGAACTTCTTTGAGCTTCGATTTTTTTATCTTTAAGGTGGGATTAGGAGTGGCAGCCTCACAAGTATTGTTATGAGAGCTAAATGAAATAATATATGGCAAAGGAATGTATTGATTTCAAAGCACCATGGAAATGTTAATTTTGTAAATGCGAGGTACTATTTATGAAGCATTAGAACATGCCAGTGACATAGTGTTTGTTAAATAAACTAAAGCAGTCCTAGTAATACCTTTACTTCAGGAGTATGCAGTTCATGTTATTGCACCAAAGCTACTTGGGAAATGACTAAAGATAGCCACTTAGTTCAATATGCCTGAGAAAATAGAGTGTAAGTTTTATTAAAAGTATTAGTCTGTAATGTAACCTTCAATCCCTTGGGAAAAATCCCTTTCCCCTCAAGCAGTTCAGTAGGGAGGTCTTACTGCATGGGGAAATTACTACAATCACAGAATAAAAAGGTGTATGTTCAGTGCCACAGGGGCCGGGCATGAACAGTGGTGTTACACCGGGCGTGGCTATTACACTACCAGAAACATCTGAGTTCACCGTCATAACAACAAATGATCGGTTCTTATTTTGTCAGAAATTCTCGGAGATCAATTAAACTGGACGGAAAAGGAGAACCCAAAGGGGCGAAGAGAGCTAAGCCTGTGAGGTACACAGCAGCGAAGCTACACGAGAAAGGCGTCCTGCTAGGGATAGATGATCTTCAAACAAACCAGTAAGTGTGGCCTGGAGTCTGCACAGAACACACATTCCATCCACTCACATAAAATCTGACTCACGTTTTTTTTTTTTTCTTTGGTTTCTTGTGGCCCTTGAGAGAACTCCGTTTGGTCTAGCAAGGCTTAGCCTTGATTATAGGTGACAAGGAGAGAATACATGTATTGTCATTGCTAGGCTTCCCTTGGGCCTCAGTATCTGGTGCTGTGTGTCCCATAAAGTGCCAGTCAGGTGGTTGTCTTTCCCATGGCTTATCCAGTGTGTTTGGATTTGTGAGCCTCTCCATCCTCCCAGAAGAACTGAGTCACAGCGATGAGAATGAGAGGCTGTCTTTTGGTCCTGATAGATGAGTTATCTAAAATTGCAAAACAGTACCTTTCTAATTTCAAAGCCACAGACTGTGCCAACCCCTGGGTCACAGCCACTTCTAACAGTGTGCTGTGAGTGTGTGTGTTCCAGGGGGTGGAGAAAAGAGAAACCCCCCCTCCACAGCCCCACATCAAGCACCACATGCTGCTTTTTTTTAAAAGGATCAAGAGCCGGGTGCCCCATCACTTGTCCTTTGTCTCAAGGGAAACCAGGCTTACTGCATTTGCCTTCTCTCTAACTCTTGCCTGCCTTCAAAGCCTGGCGTCTACTCCATTTATCTTATGAAACCTTCTTTTAACAACACAACCCCAAAAAAATGCTACTTTTTTGAATTTTTATAAAACTTAAATACTTGACTGGCTGGTCAGCAGCATAGGTCAATATTTAATTCTTATGTTCTGTGACTCTCATATATTTCCAAATACATTTGCTGCTCCTTAAGAGCAAGTACCATATTGTCTATTTCTTTTATAATAAAGCACCTACTCTACTACCCTGTTGAGCTATAGATCTCAACAGTAGCCATCAAACCTAGTGTTTAGGGGGCAGAGTAGGGGAAAGACGATGTGAGGTTTTTGGTGACTTCCTTAGGATTTTCTCAACAGGCCACTCACTCAGAACGATAACTTGGGATTCTGTTAGTTTGTTTCAGCTTTAAGCATATGCTATATTTGCAGTTTCACACATGTGAATTTTCCTTTCTTGACTAGGTTTAAGAATGTTACATTTGATATCATAGCCACTGAAGATGTGGGCATCTTCGATGTCAGATCTAAGTTCCTTGGTGTAGAGATGGAAAAGGTGCAGCTCAATATTCAGGTAAGCTGGGATTTCTGCACATTGGGGATGAGTTTTGTGTGTGGGTCATCCACAGCTCCCCTGGCTGCACTCTTCATGATAGCAGTGAAGTTTAACAGAGGAACAACACAAGCCTTATTTGCCAATATTCGTTTTTTTGGGTGTTGATGATTTCTTTAAAAGCTGTGCTGTTTCAAATAATGGGACTTAAAATGCTTTTAGATGGCAAGCCATAGTAGTCAGTTTTTCTAAGCTGTGTTTCCATTTTGAAGCTTAAACAAAAGAATATAATATAAAAGTATTCAGAGCTATTAAAGGCTGGAAATTTTCCTTTTATTGGAAACTTGCATTTCTTTCTAAGACTCTGTTATGCTCAAGATTGGAACTTTCCTGATCTCATTTCTCCTCTTTTCCTTTCTCCTTCCTAGAAGAGTTTTTACATGAGTTTGTTAAATCCATTTGTTTAATGTTTGAGATCACAAGAATAAAAGACATTATGCAAAACATATCTATAAATATAAAAATGGTGTTTACAATATGAATTTATCATTATTTTCACGTAAAAACCACATTTAGGCCAAATGCACTTAAACAGAAACTGAAAGATCCAATTTATGTGCAAAAAAAAAAATTAAGTGGGTGGTACAACCAACAAATGTTCATATACCCCCAACTTCTTAATCTTTAGCACAGGATCACTTTAAAAAAGTATTAATAATTTTTTTTATATAACACTTTTTAAATGGAAATAACACCTACTTACCTGGTCCCAAACTGCATGTAAAGTGGTTTCCAGTTATTCTGCATATGTCTGCAGGACTCATCTTGCTTAAGCCCCTGAGAGCGATGTGAGTTCTGGCCTCACTGCCTGCTCAGTCCATGGCTCAGTGCCCCGAAATTATCTCCCTGTCATGGGAGCATATCCCAGAGCCCTTCTGTTCTGTCTAGCAGCCCTTAGAAGTGTAAAAAGAAAAATGAGAGCTGAATGGGTTTGATAAGGATATTGAGATAACACAGTATATTAGAGTTCAGAGAGAAAAATAAAAGATACTGTGTAATTATGAAAAGTATACTTGAGTAAACAGCATTGTTTTCTAACTTATTTTAAAAGTCACTAAGTGTATCCATTTAACAATTTAGCTAATTGAGAGTCTTCAGTTACTTTATGTAACACTTAGATAAATACACAAAGAGAAAAGAATGTACTCGTGGTGATACATCTTGGTTAGTAGTTCTCCTATAGAAATAGCAAAGGGGAGGTATGAGGGGGATTGCCAAGAAGGACATGGCCCAAGGCCAATCAGTGTCAGCTGGACAGATGAATCACAGGTGCCCAGGAGATGCCTTATGTTGTATTTAGAAAGATCACAGGAATTGAGTACTGGTACAAAAACCAAGCTTCACTTTGCCCCTTTGTTAAGGATTCAGTATACAGTGGGATTGGCAGTTCACACCATTCATTTATACATATAATTGTGAAATGTTAATCCTTAGCTGTATGCAGGTGGCCACTATGCCCCAGATTTTTTAAATCATTAACATATATGATCAAAACTGACTAAATAATTTTCAGAGCTCAGAGCAAAATAAAATTTCAGGACCCCTTGTTCAAAGTGCAGGATTTCTGGATGATGACAGACGAGCATGAAACCAAGTACAGGGCCCTTCTGAATACGGGGCCTGTGCACCTGCACAGATTGCACACCCATGGAGCCAGCCCTGCATGCAACAGCTGTCAGGTGTAAAGTCAAGGTCTTATTTATATATGCAGCTTGCAGACAATTGCATGAATGTGTAAATTACCAAAGAAAAATGTGATGGTCGAGTCTTTAGTGTGAGTCAAGGACTGGGAGAAGGGCAGAAGTTCCTGAGAGGACTAAGCGGGGGAGGTCCCTTCTAACATTACAGCTGTGTGTCTCGAGGTCCTCCTCAGCCCATTCTCCCTTCACTTCCTAAAGAAAATGGTAGGATAGAATTATATCCTGTAACTACAGACCATATAAATAACAGGAGGGTGATACACATTCTTGCTTATAAATACAATGTCAGGTGTTTATTGGGGCCTGCAACATGGGCGTTCTTCCTTTCCTAGATGAACAACTGCGGTTCAGAGAGCTCATTATGGAAGCGGTAGCTGGGGTACAAGTTCTTTTTCACTCTACTGCACTATCTACCTCACAAGATTCCAGTTTATCCTGATAAGACAAAGGTGGCTTACGGGGGTTTGCAGATACCTTGATATCTTCTCATTCCCAGTAGCACCCCTGTGAGGTTGACAGTGTTACCCCCAATTTATACATAAGGAACAGAACTTCAGAGAGGTCATGTCATGTTGCAAGGTCTTAAGATAGCAAATGGCAGAGCTAAGACTAAAATCTGGTCTTCTAATCACAAGTGCAGTCATGTTTTCTCTGCTCCCTACTTTGGGGACCCAGCTAATACCCCTATATACACCTTTCCTTCTCAACCTAACCATATTGGTTTAATTCTCTTCCAAGAAACTGTGATTAACAGATGTTGCATTTCCCAGAGGAAAAGTAAATCTCCACTATGAGTAAATCTTTCTCTAATAAGTAAAAGCATTCTTGATGAAAGGACTTCAATTCCTCATAGAACTTCAGTTCCAAAAGCGTATCTAAATAATGTCGGGGTTTATTTGAGTAGAGTGGGAGGTAACTGAGGAAGTGGAAGAGGAAGCTGTTAGCAGCCAAGGTTCTCCCAGAGATAACTCGAACTTCTGCAGGTGGCCTCGCTTAATATAGTCCCCAGGCCTTGTCATTAAGAACTAAGAAATTTCCAGAGCTAGACATAAGAAAATGAGACCTAAGCGTTAGTCCAGGACAGTTCAGGAATAATATCTTCTAGTTGGGAAAGGCTTCCTGTGCCATGTTACTGGGAAATATTACAGCTTAGCTTCATGCATGTGGCTGGTGTGACCTGGTTATTTATTTTTGAAATAACAATTGGTCTCCTTTGTTTATATGGTGGTAATAAAAAACAGAATGGTGGTTTAACTTAAGAATGAGGGTTTGTTCTCAGTATTGGAAGAGAATTGGTCTAGATCAGGAAGGAATTGCTTTGTACAGTGGTCTCCAAACTTTGGTCACATTATTTCATCAGTAAATACTGTGAGCACTTCTCCACATATATACATACTTCCTTATTTACAAAGTATACATACTTCTGTACTCTAAAATGTGCTTTGTAAAACATATATAAAAATTAAATGTTTAAAGAATAAGAAAAAATAAATAGGAGTGCTAATATTCTTTTTATACCCCCCACCCCATGAATTGTCTTGCTTAAATCACTTTAGAAAACACTGCAGTTCTAAAGGGTATATCCCATCTAGCTGGCACATTTGTGTTTTGAATGTTTCCATTAAAAGTTGAAATTGTAATGATATATCTGATACTAACTTAAAGATTGTTTTCTTTCATACAGTCCTTATCAATTCTAAAAACCTATTTTCTTTCATCTAGATCAGTGATTCTTAAAGTCCAACAATTTTACCATCACTTGCAAACTTGTTAAAGTGCAAATTTGTGGGCCCCACTCCAGAGCTACAAAATCAGAAATTCCTGGAGATGGAGTTCAGCAGTCTATGTTTTAACTAGCTTGTGTTTCTAACCAGATGATTTTGATACACACTAATGGTTAAAAAACCCCTGTATGCCTGGGCACAATAGCATACACCTGTAGTCCCAGCTACTCAGGAGGCTAAGGTGGGAGGATTGCTTCAGGCCAGCCTGGACAAAATAGCAAGACCCCATCTCAAAAAAACTTAATGAGCTAGATGGGGGCTTTTTAAAAAAAAAAAAAGTCTTGGCCGGGCGCGGTGGCTCACGCCTGTAATCCTAGCACTCTGGGAGGCCGAGGCGGGTGGATTGTTTGAGGTCAGGAGTTCAAGACCAGCCTGAGCAAGAGCGAGACCCCGTCTCTACCAAAAAAAATAGAAAGAAATGATCTGGACAACTAAAAATACATATATAAAGAAAAAAATTAGCCGGGCATGGTGGCGCATGCCTGTAGTCCCAGCTACTCGGGAGGCTGAGGCAGAAGGATTGCTTGAGCTCAGGAGTTTGAGGTTGCTGTGAGCTAGGCTGACGCCACGGCACTCACTCTAGCCAGGGCAACAAAGCGAGACTCTGTCTCAAAAAAAAAAAAAAAAAAAGTCTTTTTTTTGGTCAACAAGCTCTTCTGGTATGTTTTTAAATATGCAAAATGTCAAAGTTGAGATTTAATAATGTTCCTTACAATTTCAGGATTTACTTCAGATGCAGTATGAAGGAGTAGCTGTAATGAAAATGTTTGATAAGGTTAAAGTGAATGTAAATCTTCTCATATACCTGCTGAACAAGAAATTCTATGGAAAGTGAAGTGCCTGCAGAAATTTCATGAATTCTGTTATCATCTGGATTGGGAAATCAATTTGTTTAGTATTTTTTTTTAAACATGATTGAAATCACTGCTTACAAATGTGTGATTTTTTTTAAAGACCAAAACTGTTCTGAAAAATGTGCCTTTTTGATAATTTGATACTAAAAACAGAATGATATGCAAAATGAATTAATGTAAACACATCGACATTGTACTGTGGTATAGGTACTCAGATTTAAAACTTTGGACATCCTGTGATCTATTTTAAAGTAGGGGGAGAAATTTAGCTGACTAGGGACAAACATGTAAACCTATTTTCCTATGAAAAAATTTTAAATGTCCCACTTGAATAATGTAATTCTTCATAGATTTTTTTTTTTATCTGTGGACAAATGGAAACCTAATTATTTGTAATGAATTATTTAGATAGTTCTAAGCCCTGTCTTCTGGGAGTTATCAATTTTAAAGAGAACTTTTGTGCAATTCAAAATGAAGTTTTTATAAGTAATTGAAAATGACAATACAATAACACTTTCTGTATAAAAGTATATATTTTATGTGATTTATTCCTACTAAATGAAAGTGCACTACTGCCTCATGTAAAGACTCACATACGAAGAGCCTTTAAGTGACTAAGGAACAACATGATAGCGATCATAGGTCCCCACCTCCATCCCTCACAATGTATTTGAATATTTCAATTGTGCCTCTCAATTTTTTGTAATGCTATAAAATCAGTATCTAGATGGTTTTTAAATGTATTCTTTGGAAATTGTTTTATGTAAAATAAATGTTACTTAATTACATTTATTTGACTTATCATTTAGTGGGTAGGAGAAGATTCTTGGGGCTTTTCAGGAAAACAAATAATACACCTATGTCTGTACTAGTTAGAGTATAGAGTAAGCTGCTTTAAGGAAAAAATACAAAACCCTTGTGGCCAAAACAATATAGAAATTTATTTTTCTCAATTTCAGCAGTTCAAAAGTGAGCAAATCCACAAGGTAATCCAGGGATCCAGGCTGGCCCGTTGGCTTCTGCCTGCAGGAAGGGGAAAAGAAGTCCAGGGCAAACCTTTTAAGTTACACAGGTCACTTCTGCTTACATCCTGCTGGCCAAAACTTGGTCACATGGCCACAGCAAGCCAAATACAGTGCCTAACTAGGCAGCCATATATCCAATTAAAACCTAAGGTGGAGAGGGATGTAGAAGAAAGGGTGATTCCTGATGATAGTTTAGAAATCTCCACCCCAACCATAGTCCAGACTCTTAGGTGGGAAGCCCCCTGACGTCTTGTTCATGCATTCAGTAGGCTTTAATTTCTTCAGGGATTGCAAAATATAGAGAAAGTAGGTTAGCTTATGCTCATGTGGCACAAGTGAACTTTAAGATGAACAGAATTTGAAAAATTCAAATTCAAAAAAGTACAATCTATTACTTTAGTGATTGTTTCAGGCTATACGTATTTTTGACAAAGAGATGAACAAAGAGATAGTGAAACAATGTTCACTATCTCAACAGTTTGTGGGTTTATGTGTTTTTTAACATGTTAGTCTTAATACAGACTACTATAAAAAGGACTCAAATACACAGTTAAGTTTGAAAATAAACTTCCCTGTCCCTTTCTCCCCTACTGCTAACATTGGAAAGTGGGGACAGGAGCCAGGGATGATGGTAGGGGGATGTTAAGCTTCCTTCTTGCTCCAGGAAAGACTTTCAGTGGAAATGTATAGAAGGAGCCAAAATTAGGGATGGGATGTTTGGAGGCAAAAGCGAGCCTTTCCCAGCATCTCTGAAAGGTGCTTAACTTACTCCAACACTAAATGATATGCTTGAGTGTTACTTGTATAAATAAAGATGTTTACATCACACCAATACCCTCGAGAAAGCTGTGAATGTTTTCTCTCTCTTGGCCCACAAGATGAGGTTACTGTTGAACATATCACCAATTGCTGTTTGTTTGAGATCTTTAAGGGACATGGATGGGTGGGTGACCCAGAGAAGGAAGCATGTGATGAAGAAAAGGAGAAAGAACAAGAGGCCAATGGGGATGTGGGTGCAGCAAACCACTCTCAGGACGACTGAACCATCCCTCAAGCAGGGGACTGTTGTTCCTTGTGATGTTGAGCCACTTAGGACTCCTGATCATCTTCCTTCCCAGGGCTTATAGCTTTTCTTACTCAGTGGAAAAGCTTGCTTTTTTTTTTTTTTAAACACTGAGCAATTGGAACTATAACTCGATTTTTACAAAGCTGCCTCCTGTATTTTATGTGTGTTTGATCATGTTTCCACTATTATAAAAGTGGACTTTGGAAGGTTAAGAGGGCTCATGCTCCCCTAAACTCCACTTTGGCACCTGAAGCTTTACAAAGGCAAAAGGTCTTACGCAACACTCTAGCTACTGTCAAAGGATCTGTTCTAGTGATCCTCAAGAGGGAAAACTTTTTTCCGGTAGTGGTGAAGAAAGAAAACAATTTGGTGTGATCACGGTCTAATATGAAAGATCAGAACTATAATGTGTATGTTGGTGTATGTATGTGGTTGGACACTAATTAAAGATGCTGCTCATAGTATCATGACTTTGTGGTTAGGTAGGGATTTGTGGTATTCCTCAAACATTTCAAGAGGCAAACCACAGAACTCTGAATGGTAAAAGTCTATATTTTGAAAATTTCTAGAGAGCATTAGATGTTCTTAGTACTGGTTAGCTTTTTGAAAAACCTATTGCCTTTGTTACTGAAACCAAAACTTGGTAACAGGTTACAATAGAGTCTTCTAAGCTCCAGAGGACAGAAGCTGTGTTTTATTCTAAGTTCAGAGCCCAGCGGTACCTTGTAAATGGCAGGCACGGACATGGTTGTAGAAATGGACTGAAAAACAGACCCCACCACCCCTCAGGAGTCCCATATTACTTTAGGTTGTCACTTGTATGAATGGGGCTTTTACTGATTATCTCAGTCTAAAAATATCCTCTTAATCTCCAAATAAAATAGCTCATGCAGATTTATTGTACTAGGTTGTCTCACTGTTTTCCTTAGAGTATAAAGTCTCAGCTAAAATACATTGGAAAGGAAATCAACAAAGAACTGAAAGTTATGTTCACCTTATTTAACTGGAATGAAAATTTTTGTTTTTTGGTTTTTTTTTAACAGATACTGAATTTGACCTTTGCTTAGCACCCTACACTATAGGGGTAGTCCACCATTCTATCCACAGTGGGAATACAGTTGTTGATCTATTTTGAGAGATTAACTTTACTGCTAATAAAAGTTTCTAACAACAAAAGATGGAAATAGGTCTCCTGTTGGTTAGCTTATAACCTGATTACAAACCCTCTGCTTAAAAAGCAAATGTGAAGGTATCAATACAAAATCTGGAGTATCTCACACCTACTTTGAATACTACTTGGCTTCATTTCGTACAGGCTCTGGTATCACCACCATTAGCTTCCCAAAGGAAATTACTAGGCAAGTTCTTAAAATATACTGTTGCCTTTGGAGGGCTTCGAATAGAGGAGTGGTAACCAAAATACCTGAAGCAGGTAGATCATCTAATGCTTTAAAAGAAACTGCTTTCGTATCATTTTGGGATTAAAACTTTCAGTGTTTTAAAACACTACTAAATACCATAAACATTATGGGAAGATGGCTAATGACTCATACTATTTAGTGCCAGCTAAGTTAAAACAGAAAAAATGAAAACCAGGGACTAATATCAAGTGGTTCCAATATGAGTGATGCTATAAAGCTGAGATTTCCTTCCTGGGGAATATGTTTATCAACTCTGGTTAGGCAGATTTTCAAAACGTTTATCATCCCTGGTTTGATAGATTTTCTCCTCTGTGAAAACTATGCACATTTGCTCTAAAACTGATAAAGGGATTTTGGCATGGGCGGCATGGAAAAAAGGAAATAGAGGGATTGATATCTTTTTCAAAAATCTCTGAAGAGTATAAACATAGGAATTTTGTAAAGTCTGAGGACAAAACAGAAAACAGAACACCACCACCAGACCATAAAACAACATTAGAAATCAATCACAAAAGTCAAAACTTCCAATTTGTCGGTTGAAGATTGAATTATACTGACAAAATATTTAGACCTGAATTGTATGTATGTACATATCGAAACTTGCAAAATGTAAAGTGGTCCTTTGAAAAAGAGATGAAAATTAACAAACTAAGCAATCAGTTCGAAAAGTTAGAAGACTAAAAAGAAAACCCAAAGAAAGAAGGAAAGAAAGAATTAAAAACGTGAAAATTCATGACATTGAAAATAATAAAAGCAAAACGATGGGCACTGGGAAATAGTCATTTCCAGCCTTAATCCAGGAAAGAAAGCAAAAATAAGCTATATTAGGAATATAAATGGGGACCAAACTACAGATAAAATAGAATGAATAAAATGTATTATATGCATACAAGGGAATACTATAAAGTTTTACAAGAATTAGATATACATATATCAAACAAGTCTAGAAAAATGCAAATTGCAGAAATATTCCTAGAAGGAATACTTAATACGCACACAGAATTTAAGCATTTCACTGTTTCAGGAGCCCTCTTTTTGTCACTACAGGTACATTCTGTTCTAACAACTAAGCCCCAAAAGCATCCTTTTAAACTTTACAGTGTTTTTAATGGTTAAAAACATTTTCAACCCATGAAACAGATAAAATTTTAAAGTGTGGTCATAGCATTATTCCATTTTTATTTTAAGGATATACACACATATATATATTTGTATGTGGATGCAATTTCTTGAATGATGACCAGAAACTAAACAGTGGTCATCTGGGTTAGGGGAGGCAGGAGATACTTTACTTTTCATTTTATATCCTTGAACTGTCAGAAATTCCTGTCACATTTATTACTTTTATAATTTTATACTGTATTTCACTGATTCTAAGATATTTTTTCCTGCTTAAACAATCCTGAAATCGGTATGTCAGTTGAATTGGCACCTTTTTTTTCTTGTTAAAAAAATGGGTTAAAATGATGAATCTTAAAATCAATGGCATCTTAGGGATGTGGAGAAATGTGTAATTTTAATGGTTCACATCTCCTCTTATATATGTTTTCCGAGGCGAATTCACTGAATTGGGGCAGATTTTAAATAGCATTATTTAGTTGAGTAATTCCATAATTTATTGAGTAACTTCTGTGTGCAACAAGGTTCTGTGCTGTGAGGGCGATGGGGGGACATAGGGAAGAACGAGATCGTCTCTGATCTCATTTTCTCCTCTGCCTTAAGGGTCAGGGCTCCAGTTGGGTAATGGTACTTTTCATGCAAAATTCCCTTTTAAAAAGCCTTAGAAACCTGATCTTGGCTGCAGCTTATCACCCACAGGGTGCAGAATACTCCTGCACATCAGTGCTGCGGGTTGAGAGAAGGGGCTGCGGCTTACCTTTCCCAGAAAAGGCCATTGGGGGCCCCATTTCCTGCTGCGGTCTGAAAGTCATGCTCTCCAGAGACTTCTCCAAGCACCTTAAGCTGAGGGCTCCTCCCGCAGGCCTCAGCCGCGACGTCCCCCTAAGGGCCCTTAGCGAGTTTCGAAACGAGTGTCCCCCTGCCTATGCCTTGAATTTAGCCAAACCTTTGGGATACCGTTCAAAGAAACGTGAAGGACCCTCGGAAAGTTACCAGGACACTTGGCCCCCTGGGCATCCGGGGCGCTGGGGGTGCCTGAGAGCCGCCCGCCGCCCCGGGGCAGCCTCACCTGCAGGCGACCGCCCTCCCCCCACGGCGCCGCAGGTGACACCGGCGGGCGGCTCAGGGGCGGCACCGATTGGGAGGGAAAGAAAGCAGGGAGGC